AGCAGGGAGCCCGATGCGGGGCTCGATCCCAGGACCCTGGGATCATGACCCGAGCCGAAGGCAGACGCTTAACGACTGAGCCACCCAGGTGCCCCAAAATTAAAACTTCTTTTAATCTAAGGTAACAAGAGTGAAAAGATGAGCTACAAGAATGGGAGAAGATATACTGACAGAATGCTCCTATCAATGATGTATAAAGAGCTAAAATTCAATTAGGACAGTCTATTTTTAAAGTGGGCAAGTCTTGAATACATCCTTTTACAAAGGAAGTATCCAAATGGTTAATAAACAAAACAAGATGTTCTTAACATCTTTAATAATTAGGGAAATGCAAATTGAAATCACAGTGAGATACTACTATGTACCCAACAGAGACACTGGTGATACCAAGTGTTGGTGAGACATTTGGGCAACCAGAATACTTTTCCACAAGTTGATAGGGGTGTAAATTGGCAAAACCATGTGGGATAACTGTTTGGCAGTATCTACTAAAGCAGAACATAAGTATACCCTATTACCTGATAATTCTATTCTTAGGTTCTACTCAATAGAAATGTGTACATATGTGCACCGAAAGACTACAAAAAAATGTTTGGAGTTATTCATAATAACTTCAAATTAGAAGTAATCCAAGTGTTGATTAACAGAAGAATAGATAAGTAAATTGTGGTATATTCCTTTTATGAAGTATACAACAATGAAAATGAGTCAGTCATGGTTACTTACAGTAGCTTGGATGAATTTCACACGTATGGTATTGATTTTTAAAAAGCTAGATACAAAAGAATTCATCCTTTATGATTCTACTTAATTAAATTTCGGAAATAGGCAAAGCCCATCTATGGTGTTTGAAGTTAGGATCGTGGTATTTCTGGGCGGGAGGGAAGGCTTAGTGATTGGAAGGGACCACAAGACCTCTAAGATTGTAGAATGCTCTTTCTTTACCTACAGTGTAAACTTCATGCACTTCTCTGTATGTATGTTATTTCAATTAATGTTTTTTAACTGACACTTGTACCCTAACCCCTTGGATTTTTATTTAAGCAGTCTGGATAGGGGCCCAGGCAGCAATAGTTTTTAAAAAGCACCTCCAGATCATTGTAATGTACAGCCAGGAAGGATAACCACTGTATTAGAATTTCCTTCTAATAAGGAAATCTTATGAGTGCTATAGAAAATTTGAAAAATAAAGAAATGTGTGAAGAAAAGGAAAAAAATCATTTAAAATATACCCCCAGAGGCACCTGCTTTTAATACTACTTATTTTGTCAGGTGATCAGGTTTTTAAATCATGAATACCGTGTCTCTTTTATTATCTTGCATCTGCCAGGTTCCTGCTACAGATACTTGATTGGGGAAAGAGGATTAGTGAGGCGTCATCTTTCTCATAACTTCTGGAAATCCAGGAAGTAATAAATGAAAGTTGTAGCCAGGTGTTTTTCTTGAATTCAGAAGCAGAGACTGTAACTTAATGTTTTGGTCCTGATCATTATATATTTTCATATGGACTGCTTGTTTTCATTTCTGATTTTCTTAATGAGAACGAGACTTCTTAGGTAGTTTAACCATTTAGGATCAAAGGTGATCTGTTAACACTGTCATGGCAAAAACCTTCTCAAATAGGTTTTACTGCCTGATACGTATGTATGTAGTCATTATTTCTGCACAGTATATTTGCTGTAGGTATTGATTTTCTCTACATTTCTTACCTTTCTATAATAAAGGTTATAGATTATCTGGAAAAATATTACCATTTTAAGGGAAAAAGAAAAATGATGAAAATGTTGAGAGAGTGTCATCATTTTGTCTAGGGTATGTTCTTATTTTTATAAATTTGAGATGAAGACTTGAGGTAGAATCTGTGTTTTGAGTGCTATCAATAATGGAGGTTTTTTCCAAATTGTGTAGTTTCCGATAAGAGCATCTCACCATCATTATAGAAATTTGATAAACAGTGAAATTTGTAAAGAGAAGAAAAATCCCTTAAAATATACTCGCAGTGATACCTACTTTCAATACCCCTATTTACCTTATCAGTTGTTTAATAATGTGTTTTAATTTCTGTGGTTCTCTTTCCTTACTGTCTTTTAAAACACTGAAATTTTTGGTTCTCCAAGTATTTCTGAGTTGTGATTTATTTTCACCCCTGTGTGATAGGTTAAGGGAAGGGTTAGAAAAGCTTGACACCAAGACTTAACTAGTTGATAGCTTTATTTATTTATTTAAAGATTTTTTTTTTATTTATTAGAGAATGAGAGAGAGAGCGCGCGCACACAAGAAAGGGAGAGGTCAGAGGGAGAAGCAGACTCCCCGCTGAGCAGGGAGCCCGCTCCCAGGACCCCAGGATCATGACCTGAACCGCAAGCAGATGCTTAACCAACTGAGCCACCCAGGTGCCCCTAGTTGATAGCTTTAATCTCTTCCAGGGCTGTTAAACGTTCTGGGTAGAGTTTTGATTCAAGGCCTGTTTAATGGGGGATAAACATACAGATTATCTGAACAGTTTCTAAGATATACTTACCGGCAAATTAGAATTACAGAAATCGTGGACAACCTTCACAAATTCATTTGAACCAGTTTTGATCCCAGTACCCAATAGGCAGAACAGGTGGTCCATAAGAACTTCATAAATATTTGTCAAATAGAGAAAATGGGGAAGAAAAGGGAAAAACTGAAAAAAACCTTAAAGACTGAAAATGTAACTAGAAAAAGCAGATGGTAGATGAGCTGAGTGCTACACCTGAAACTAATATTACACTGTATGTTAACTACACTGGGATTTAAAAAAAAAATGCAAAATAAAAAATGAGCTGAGTGCTTTGAACAATTAAAGGATGGAAATCCAGTTAGTTCCTAGGAAAACAAACATACTGCTTTTAGTTTGACAGACTAGGATTTGTGGATATTCTTAAGACTTGGAAGACAGAGGGTAGATGGGACCAAAATTAAAGTACGATACGTGCAATGTTTTTAGTGCCACTTACTGAGACCCACTTAATTTTATGTATAATTTGGTTTCCTAATAAAATAATCATGATGATGGGAAAGCCTGGAAAATGTAAAAATGTTTTTCTTGTTTCCCTTTATAAAAATGAAAACAAAAAACTCCCTCACATTTTCTAGACTTCCCTATGCAGATTCTATTAAATCCTTCCTAATATTTTTACCTCTATTCTGGCTGGAATTTAGTTCTACATAAAAGGTAAAACATGTTTCTGCTAACATAAATAGGAGGAAATATACCATCTTCATTTGTCATTGTTGCCACTAATTAAAATTCTCCCTGGAGTTTCAGAAATTAAATCATAGCCACCAGTAACTTTTTTCTATCATCAATTATAAAAAAGTTATGAAGGTAATATAATGGCATCACAGGGTTTGGGGAATTCATGCAGAGTAATGTTTGATCTCAGCCTAGCATTATTCATATATTCTGGGTGGCTTTCTTGGTTAGCCATTGTTGATAGTCTCTTTTTTAGATCATCCAGATGGAGTACTTGTGTTTAAAAAAAAGTGTTGAAAATTAGCCTGTTTGGGAAATAGTACATAAGAATGAATTTGAAGTTGTTTAATGTCTGGAGTATTTTCCTTCACTACCCACTGACTCTAATTTCCTTGTAAAATAAAATGATAGTTCCACAGTGGGACTCTGGTGACTTATAATCTATTGTCAACTCTGTTTCATCTTTATTAAATTTAAATCTTTTTTCCTATTTTTAGACTTGAATCCCCCAAGACTGCTTGTGTAATATGTGGGAGCTCCTGTGCTATTTCAGCAAGAGATGCTAACTGCAGGGTAGAGGATGGGATGGGCATCCAGGACCACACAAGTAAAACAACCTATTTGGTGGATTGTTTGAGAATTAGGTTGATGAAAGAAAGAACCGGGGTGCAGCTGGGAGAAAGACACAGTGAGTGGATGAGTGAAACACAAGGGGAGACAAGCAGACAGATGAGAAAGGCCTAGATGAGGTGTTGCAAAACTAGTGTGGACTCTGAACTTGATCCTTAAAAAGCTCCTTTTTCCAGAATGCCTGTGGTTCATGACTGTATGACTCTATGTGAAGTACCTGGTGTAGGCACTCAGACATTTTTGTCAGTGTTGATGGCACCTTCCTTTGCAAGCTAGGTAATTACAGTCCCATTTGACAGATGAAGAAATTGAGCTTTAAGGGAATTAAGTAACCTGCCTAAGATCACACAGCTCGTAATTGGTGGGATAAAATTGAAGTCCCCTATATCCCTCTGGGCTGGGCTGACTTCAGAATTCACTAGATCAGGTTCTGTTTTTAATATTAGTGTATTCACAATTGTTAGTGCTTCTTTAGGGTTGTTAAAACCTTAAGTTCAGGGGCTCTGTTTTTGTTTTTTGAACATTTTATTTATTTGAGAGAGAGAGCATGCGCGAGCGCATTGGGGAGGAGGGGCAGCAGGGGCAGCGGGAGAAGGAGAAGCAGGCTCCCCACTTAGTGGGGAGCCAGCCATGGACCTCGATCCTAGGACTCCGAGATCATGACCTGAGCTGAAGGCAGATGCTTACCCGACTGAGCCACCCAGCGCCCCTGTTTTTTTAATAAAAATATTTTTTAAGTAAACTACACCACATGTGGGGCTTGAAATCATAACCCTGAGACCAGGAATCACATGCTTTACTGACTGAGCCAGCCAGGCACCGCCTGGAGCTCTGTTTTGAATGGAATTGTTATGGCTGCTTACAGTGGGGAATGTTCTGGCTCTGGGCACCGGGCATCTTAGGCATCCTGAGCACTCTTTTGTTTGCATTTTTCAAAACACCTTTCTTACATTTTAGTGTTCAGTTCCACTATTTAGTAGCTGCTTCCCCTTCTTAAGCTTAACTGTCCTCATCAGTAAGATAGGGGCAGTAATAATAATATTTATCTCCCCAGGTTTTTCTGAGGATCAAATTAGGAGTGCATGTATGCTTATGTCTGAGATTTCTACAAATTGATATTACAGGTACAAATGTTACAGTGAATGTTTCTCCCATTGCAGGTCTTCTTGAATTTTACATAGGGAAATTTAGATACTTCAAGCTCAACAGGCTCTCTCCAGAGGACGCCATTTTGCGTCATATTTCAAGCAATGCGTCTTTCCTTATTTTCCAAATACACTCACAGTATCAGAATACAACGATTTCTTTTTCTAAGGTAAGTATGGGGAGTTATTTCTGTAAACACCATTTCCATATTTTGGGGTCTTATATTTAGTAGAAACATTAGAATTTGATGCCTCTTTATGTTTGACTTTATATCCTTAAAAGAAAAAAATCAAGATTGGAGCCTCTCAAGTTAGTGGTTTAGACTGGCTAAGAGGTGTGTGTCTCAGGCCTTTCTTGAGTGTGGTGACCTCTGACTTAAAGAGGGGGTGAGCAAGTGCCAATTTGGGGGTAGGATGGCCTTTACCAGATGTCTCCTGGCTGCAATTTAGCTTTCCTCATGATATCTCACCTTTTTTCTTACTCTGCTGGGTCCTTAATGATTTTTACCTCTGAATATGTTTTAATGGGTTTCCATCATTGTTCAGCCATATAGTGTTTACTAAGTTTACTAAGACCCCTGTAGGATCACCTTTATTCTTTGGAGTCTCATGGAAACAAAAGAAGCCCAATATTCAGGTCCTCTAGTCCCGTGCTCAGCTTCCTGCGTTTAAGACTCTATTTCAGAGATCATCACTAACCCCTTCAACCTCAGCCTCACCTTTGGGAAGTTTTTCATATGCCCTGGATTAGCTTAACCCATGAAGAATCTGCCATTTATATTAACTTTTTATAAGTCTATTTATATTCAGTCTATATGACCCCCTTAGACTAATAAATGAATTTCACTCTCTATGAAGTTGTGCTGCTTTTTATTTGTCCTCAGCATATCTATTGTTATAAGCCTATCTTTTAATATTCTGGAATTTGCTAAACAAAGCGGTCTTAGTCCAGTTCATATATATTCTATAGCCATTGGTCATATTATCTTTCAAACTAGATACTTTACATGTTGTATTCTAGCCTTCCTGCCCCTACCATGAAGGTTTTGAAATTGTGTGTTTGGTAGTGTAATAGACTAGAAATGGAAGAGTTTGATCAAGGAAAAGAGGAAGGAATAAATTATGTTAATTGCAAAAGAGTTAACAGTGTTTATGACCCCCACTCAGATTTTGTCTGCCGCCTTTGCAGCCAGAGGAGAAATCAAAGCATGTTAAATATCATAACTTTCTTAGAAGGAAAAATCATTCCAGTTCCTCAGGAAAGCCAACCTTTGTTCCTGGCACTAAATTCAGAAGGAAACTTTCTATTCAGTCCCTTACATAGGAGACAAAGTAAAATGCTACAACAGATGATTTCCTTCTTCATAACATCATAGCAAAGACAACCTTTGAAGGAAGAGAAAAGATTTAAAAAAAAAAAAACCATTTATATTTTTTTGCATGCCTACTAGGGGCTAGGCCAGTGGTTCTTAAGCTCTCCTAGGGCCATAGATGTCGAATCTGCTAAAATCTCTGGACTCTATACTCCTCAAAATGCATGGATATGTTTGTATAATTTCATGGGGACCTGTGGAAACTCATTGGGCCTCTGGGGCTCCTAGTTAGGAACCCCTGTGTTTGGTTTTCCATGTAATTAATTTAATTCTCACAACAGTTCAACAAAGTACTTACAATGCATGTTTTTACATTTGAGGAAACAGAGCTTGGATAAAGGAATGTCGACATAACTAATGTGAGTGAAGTGGCCTGAATGGACAGCATGCTGGGCCTCAGTTTTCATGCAGAGCAGATCTTAGCTATCCTGAATGTTCCTTTCTTGGGCTGCCCTTAGTTCTCACTGTATTTATGCTGCTGAGCCGATGACGACCAGAACTGCACTTAGCTCTAGAAATGAGTGGTCTGAGTGAAGAGAGTAGTTCCTGTTTCCTTCCAGAAGTGTGGCACTTTGGATTTTTTTGGGGTCATCATAGAAGTTGGTTCTTTGAAACTGTCGACTCTGCAGTTCATCAATTAGTATTTGAATCATTTCCCTTGTGCTTGTCAAATTGAAACCCATCTGGCACTTTTTTCTTCCCATTTCCTTAGCCTTAAGAAAACACTCTGAATCTACTACCTCTTAACTTAGTATTTTGTTGTTCGAAAAGCTTTCCAAATAGATGGGGTTAGGGGATGGTCCAGTGGAGTGGTGTGAGGGAGGATTTGAAAGGAGCACGTAAGGATAAGTTTGTTCACTGTCCTGATTATGGTGATGGCTTACAAGTGTCTACTATATCAAAACTTATCAAATGGTATTCTTTATGTGTAGTTTATGACGATTATAGCTCAGTTTTTTAAAGAAACTTTCTAGAACTTGAATTCTTTAGGGGCGGGGCTCATGTTTTTGTTTTTGTAGTGATAAAGTGAATTTGTATATTGGACCTACAAGATGGAGGCTGCCTCAGTGACCTGGTCCATGTCACAAATCTAAACCTGAGTCAGCTTGCACTAACGGGGAAACACCTGTCCAGGAAACCTACCATGACAGTCACCGTCCTCCAACTCTGCTCTAGCTCTTTTGCCTTACCTTAGAGAATAGGACCTGCTCACCTTCCTTATAAGGAAATTCCTGACCTTTTAGCCAATCATGCCCTGTTTCTGTTTTGCTTTTTCTAACACTGTACAACTCACTTTTGCCCCAAATCCCTCAGGTGCTTCTTCACTGCTTGTAAGGCACTATACTCCCCTAATGTGTGGGTTGTTTTTCCTTGAATAAAGGACACCAAACTCTTTACTGACTTGTTTTCAGTTTTGTCATTTGACAGTAGTCTTAGTACTTGACATAGTAAATCTTAATTTGGGGAATTGAAAAACTTGGGAATTTCACTGTGCATCTCCTATTCCTATCAAAGATCATATATTTAAACAGTTCTTCCATGCATATGCATGGGCACCTGCATATAGAGATGAATGCTTTATAAGGAAGGTCTGTGTCTCTTCATTCTTGTTTTGAGAAGGCTTGGAATAGGACAGGCAGACGAGATCCAGCCTAGAATTTAAGTATTTTGCTCAACTCTCTATTCATGATGACCCTTTTCTACCTTATTGCAGACTCTCCTTCGTAATACCTCAGGAACAGGCACTGACCGAGGACTGGTTTTCATTCTTAGACCAGAGCAGAGTATGTGCACTTGGCACTTGGAGACTTTAGATGCTGAGCCTGTCCAAAACATGGCCATCCCACTCACCTATTCAGAAAGAGGTAACCTTTCTATCTTCGACTCCCAATTGACTCCCAGAATGTGGAACTTATTCATGAAAATCCAAAGGAAACTATAATCCTTTTAAAAGTATATATTGCAAGTATGGTATATTGAATCAAAGATTTTAACAACAAGGGAGGCAAGGAATTTCATGATGATTGAAACCCCGGATAGGGGCGTAGGAGAATGCAGTCATTAATTCAAAAAAAAATTTAAGGAGCCCTTGGAGAAGCAGTAACAGAAAGGCAGGACACAGTCCTGAATACTTTAGCTGGTTATTCTAGGCAGAGGAGGGCAGAAGAAGAATGGAGAATATTTGGAGAATGGCAGAATGGTGGGTATGGTGGAGCCATGAGTGTGAAGGGCCTTTTATGTAATTTGAGGTTTGTATTCTATTCTGAAGGAGCACAGAATTTTTAAGCAGAGGAATGATATGCATTTCATCTATCAGAAAGTTAATGCTAGAAGAGCATGGGGAGTGGCTTGGAGAGGGCATAGCAGGATCAGGACTCAGCACACCTTTAAGAGCTCAGAGTGAGAAGATGTTTGGAAGGTAGCATTAATGAGACACAGTGACCAGTGGTTATGGATTATAAAAGGGAGGAGCATAGGCTTCCCATTTGGGCTGCTAGGAGATAGTGATGTAAAATAGGGTTGAGAGGGAGTTGTGGTGGTGCTGGACAGTTGAGGCGGTCGGGATGGGGTAGATGGTGACTTTAGTTTGGGACATCATCTGAGATGCTATAGGACATCTGGATGGAAATGCCTAGTAGGGAGTTTAAGGGTGTGGAGTGGAGACTCGAGGTTAGATGTCCACCTACAGGGTTCTGAGTAAAAGCCATGGAAGCGAGTAAGATTGTCCAGGCATGTACTTAGAGGTTTAGGGGGAAAAACGATAGTGGATACTTTCATAGTGCCTACCACATGTCAGGCACTGTTTCTAGGCGATGCTAACTGCTGAGGAATAAGCATAAGACTAAGGAGGAGTCGAGGAGGTAAGAGAAGAGCCCGGAGGTTCTGCTTTAAGTAAGGAGTGGTAAATAGTACATTGCAGAGAGATCAAGGAAGTGACGGAAATTGTCTATATGATAGTGCAATGAAGAGTGGCCTTTAGTGAGAATTGTTTTAGTGGCACAGTGGGGGTGAAAACTAGATTACAGTGATGAGGAGTAAAGGCGAGGTGAGGGTATTTAGATTACTCTTACACAGTGTCCTATGTAGCAAAGGTAATGACCTGATAGAAAACCATAGACTTCGGGTTTTCATCAAGGACAGTGTACAAAGAAAAATTAGAGTAGAGTTTCCATTACAATCCACATCATTTTCTCAGGTGTGGTAAAGATTTGTAAATGCAGGAAAAGGAGAGTATGAAAGAAGAGCAGCATTGAAACAGGTATGCACATGGGGTTTCTCCATTCCAGATCTGGCCGGGGGAAATCAGCCACCGGAATTCCAGCAGTTGATGGAAACCAGGACCCAACTGTGGGAATGATTGGATGAGTGTATGAAGTTGAGATCTTGTAGACCTTTAAATTGATCTGTCTTAGCTCAGCCTTTCCACTTGAGTCTACCATGGACAGTTGTTTGCATAGAATGAGCTCATGTTAAGTGACTTCTCTAAGTTTTGTCATGCTTAAGGTCATGAATAGGATTCCTAGTAAGAAAAGAAGAGCTGTTTCAGCCACATTATTAATGTAAACGAAATACCTAAAATTTGTATTAAATATCCAAATGCTATTCCAATACATGGTCTTGGGGGTCTTTTGAGGCCTTTTTAATTTTTACTCTTTTATATATACAGACTCTTCCAGCACTGAGGATGACACCCTCTTTCTTCCGGTTTAAAAAGCATGTGAAAAGTGGACACCCCTTTATTTACTGCCCATGGAGTTCCCTTTCTCTTTGGCAGTGTTTTTCCCCCCTCTATCCCTGGGTTCTTAAGCTCTTTTTATGGGATCAGGGACCCCCAAAATCTAATAAAAACCTCTCTCCTTAAGAAATGCACACATTCAACCTTTGGCATACAATTTCAAGGTGTTCATGGGACCTCCAGAGCCCATTCTTGGACACCAACTTGAGAATATCTGTCTCCAGACCTCTTCAACTCTAGAGTAGGGGTTGGCAAACACAGACTGTGAGCCAGATCCAGCCTCTGTCTGTGTTGTACATAAAATTTTACTAGAAACAGCCATGTTCCTTTGCTTGTATATTGTCTGGCTGCTGTCATGCCTCGAAGGCAGGGTCGAGTAATTGCTACAGAAACCATCAGTTGTGAGAAGCCTAAAATATTCACCGTCTTACCCTTTACAGAAAAGGCTTGCTGACCTCTATTCCAGAGCCCGTAACCTCAATTAACTTTTTCCTCTTTAACCTCAGTTCATGAGGTAGTACAAAACCAGAAGCTCTATTATATTTAACTTCTGTCTGGAAAGTTCTTATAAGAGTAGAGTTCTGTTTCTCTGAGTACGATTTGAGTGTAGGAGAATTCTGTGTTGAGTAACTTCCTTATTTTTCATCCAGATCCTGTCCCTGGAGGCTGTAATTTGGAGTTTGATTTAGATATTGATCCCAACATTTACTTGGAATACAATTTCTTTGAGACGACTATTAAATTTGCCCCAGCAAACCTAGGCTATGCAAGGTATGTCTATCTTCCTATCTCCTAAAACTGCCTTTAGGACATGCATGACTAGCTGTTGTGTAGCTTCGGTGAACTCCCCAAATCCATGGTTCTCTTTAGTGAAATTGTTTAATTTTTTTTGGAACGGAGGTAATTTAAACATTGTTGGGTAATACTTGATATGTCACTTACAATTAACATTGCCCCCCTCCATTCTTAGGAAGAGCCAGATGTTGAGTTTCTGTTGTGAGCTTAGAAGTACATTTAGTTTCTGTAGAGTTTTGATTATGGAAAGCATTCTGAAGCCATGAAACACCCTTATATTTTTGTAAGGACTTTGTTATTTTAATTAATTAAAACTCTGCCTTAGTTTCTACTTTAATAGTAATGGTAGCTAACATTGAGTAACATTTGAATGCTGTCTGTGTATCATCCATCGTGCTGAGTGCTCTATGTTCTTCGTCATTTAATCCTGACAGTTTTACTCAGAAGGGGCGTGGTTCTTACCTTACAGAGTGGTTCCCTAAGGGTTATTGAGATTAAGTGACATGGTGGCAAAGCTGCATGACTAACATTAACATCCGATTATTTAACCATATCGCCTCTCAGGATGGTACTTTTCTCCGTAATGCCAAAATTGGAATCAATGCAGAAGTTTGAAATTTGAGGTTTTGGTTCCTTTTATAGATGCGACATGCACTACAAGAGATTGATGTTCAGTTTTGTTGGTTGACTTTAGAGGCACAAATCCTCTGCCGTGTGACATTGGGACGGGACGGGACTCTAGGTGGAGGTTGCTGTATGATGTCTATCAGTATTTTCTGCCCGAGAATGACCTCACCCAAGAGGCGTTGCTCAAGCATCTGCAGAGGATGGCTGAGGTGCCTCAGGTGAAGGCCAATGCTATCAAGGTAAATCTGGTTCTTAGAATTTGTGTGGCCAGATTGTGACACTTTTGGTAAGAGTTGAGAAGAGGAGAAGCTACCAGGAGCTTATTTCTGTTTCCTTGATCTTTCTGGGGTTCTCACTTTATTCTCTTCCATTCTGTTATTGTCTTGCTAGTGATATCCCAAAGTAATGTTGGCTTTTGAGGAGGTGCATGTAAATTATGTTACGTTTTAGTTGCTGTCACACATATGATCTGGTAATCTTCAGCTGTGGATGGAAGTGATTTTTCTATGTACTCCCATAACTATTAGATAAAAACTTTTGGCAAGTATAAAAGTTACAGTTTTTTTTAAAAAACAATGAGAAACTGTTTTAAGGATATACACATTGTCATTAATACTTGTTTATTTATTTAAAAGATTTTGTTTTTATTTATTTTAGGGAGAGAGAGCATGCATGTGCATGTGGAGAGCGTAGAGGGGCAGAGGGGGAGGGAGAGGGACCAGCAGACTCTGCGCTGAGTGCAAAGCCCCACATGGGGCTCGATCTCATGACCGTGAGATCACGACCTGAGCCAAAACCGAGAGCCAGCTGCTTAACCCACTGAGCCATCCAGGGGCCCCTGTCATTAGTATTTAAACCCAAACTCAGAAGTCTCTAACTTGAAGCAGAAGTTTTCTCTGATCTTTGGAACCCCTGTAAACTCTTGGAATACCAAGTGTGGGGTATGGGCCAGTAGCATTGGCACCACTCGGGAGCTTGTTAGAATTGTAGACTCCTTGGCTCCACCCTGGACCTACTGAATCAGAATTTGCATTTTTGAGGTCCCCAGGTGATTCCTACGCATATTAAAAATTGAGATTCATGCTATAGATGGTTTTTGTGGAGGGCAGGATTTATGTCTTAAAAGTTACCTGATAGCAGTCTAATACAGAAGTTCATCCTTCAGTCTAATGGTTTATGGCTAGAGTTTTTCTAGACTGCTCTGATTTTTCCCAGAAGGTTGATAGGTTACCAGATTTTATAGGGAAGCGGTGGCCTATGTGATTAGCCTAGGTCCTCAGTCTGTTGCAGAGCAAGATCTCATTTTGTTGTCACCTAGGATGTCATGGTCCCATGCTAAGAAGGAGCCTGATACTTCAAGAAAACTCACTGTGCTTATTCACAAATTTGGAAGCTCCTTTGGATAAGTTTACCAGTTGCCATTTTTACATAGAAAATTTTGAAGATCATTTTTATTCTCATGAAGAGAATAAAAGAATTCATATAACAGGAACTTTTTAGGTTACTTTTTAACTTTCAGCGAAGAGCCGTCGTTGACTAGTGAGGGCATGTTGAGAAGAGTCAGAGCCTGTTTGAAGAGGCTTGCACTGGCCCACTTTGGGGCAATTCAGTCATCAAAAAGAGTAATGATTGATTATAAGTTTTGAATAAATAAAAACAAGTCCTACTGATACTAAAAAAAGGGAGAGAAAAAGAAAACTCCTCAGTTGCTATCATTGGAGGAGACTCCTATACCAAATTATTCTGGAAATTGATACGGGGAGGAATTTACACTGCCTTTTTTAAAAGAGGCACTGTAATTCATCCTCGTTCATGAGAGAAGGCTCTACATGGAAGAACCAACCAGTAAATGTAGAAGGAATAATAGGATTAGAAAATCACCATTTTCCACCCTTAGTGAAATAATTCAGGCAAGGATCTGCAGGTGAAAGACTTTTGGGGAAAAGGATATTCTCAGCATGCTCAGATGAATTCTAATTGCAAAGAGAAAACTTACTTTTGGAGTGGAATGATTTGATGGTCTTGGTCTTATCTATGTGGTCATTTAGCTTCATTGATAGCAGGTAGCTTGCCTTATGTGCTCATATGACTCCATCTGACATCATAACCATCACCTGTGAAATATTTTAGCAAAATATGTTTAACCTGAATTCAGTCCATTGGAGTTCCTGTTTATAGGAAATACGTGGGGTAAAAGAGCAAGTTGGACACCTTGAGCATACTCTGACAAATCCAGATTGTGGAATGTTCTATGAGACAACTGCTCTTTTTTCTTAAGATTTTATTTTTTATTTAGAGAGAGAAAGTGTGAGCAGGTGGTGGGGGGTAAGGGGCAGAGAGAGAGGTGAGAGAGAATCTTAAGCAGGCTCCAGCACTGAGTGTGGAGCCCGACAAGGGGCTCAAGGAGGGGCTTATCAAGGGGCTCAATCTCACAACCCTGAGATCACAACCTGAGCTGAAACCAAGAGTGGGAGGTTTAACTGCACCACCTAGGTGCCCCTTAAGATTTTATTTTTAAGTAATTTCTACACCCAACCCAGGGCTTGAACTTACAACCATGAGATCAAGAGTCACAGGCTTTACCAGCTGAGCCAGCCAGTTGCCCCTATAAGACAGCCGCCCTGGAGGTCCCTGGGTGGTTCAGTAAGTTAAATAACGACTCTTGGTTTCGGCTCAGGTCATGATCTCAGGGTCATGAGATTGAGCCCAATATTGGGCTCTGCACTGGAAATGGAGCCTACTTAAGATTCTTCTCTCCCTCTCCCCTTCCCCCCCCACCCCCGATAAAAAAAACAGAAAAAGACAACTGCTCTTAATGATTGGGTGGGTGGGAGAGAGTGATGGGAAGGACTGTCCTAGATATCAGAGATAAACACCATGCATGAAATGGTTGGATTTTGGTTAAAGGAGAGAAAAGCTATGAAAGACATGGTGGGGGGAGGAGGGGCGCCTGGGTCGCTCAGTCGGTTAACTGTCCGACTTGTGATTTCAACTTGTGATTTCCACTCAGGTCATGATCTCATGGGTTGTGAGATGGAGCCCCACAATGTGGCTGCGGGGAGTCCGCTTGAGATTCTCTCTCTCCCCCTCTGCCCCTCCCCGCACTTGTGTGGGTGCTCTCTCTCTCTCAAATAGGTGAATAAATCTTCAAACAAAAAAAGACACGGGAAAATCTGAATATGGACTGTGTATTAGATAAGAGATTATTGATTTTTTTGGGTGAGCTAAGGTATATGGGTATAAAAGCGAATATCCTTAGTACCTTGCTACTCAGAGTGTGGTAGATGAATGGGTAGCATTGGCATCAGCTGAGAGATTGCTAGAAAAGCAGACTCTCAGATGCTTCCTCCAGCAATAGAATCAGGATCTAAATTATAACACCCTCCCTCAGTGATTATAGGCACGTTAAGTTTGAGAAACGCTGTTTTAGGATGTGCACACTGGAAGTCTTAAGAAGTGAAATGTCATGATATCTAACTTACTGTAAAATGGTTCAGCAGGAAAAAATAGAGGGAAAAAAGGAATAAAAAAAAAAGAAATAGGATAAAATATTAACAATTGTTAAATCTAAGTGGTGGTATATAGTTTATTCATTGTATTATTCTTTCAGCATTTCTATAAGTTTGAATGTTTCATAATAAAAATGGAGTAAGAGGTAATGTTAACATTTAGTTGAACTTGACCAGTCCTTTGCCAGAAACATATTTTTGAAGGCTAAGCAATATTTTTAAGCAGAAGTTTTCTAAGAGGCTTGTAATTATTCCTGAAACTCTAATACTAAATATTCTCACTTTTATTAGTAGGAATGTATTAGTGTATTCTAGCTATATAGGGCTTTTGTTTCTTCTATTACATATATTACCTATCTAAAAAACCACCTTTAAAATGGAAGTTTTGAAGTGAAGGACCACTGCATAACAACTATATGGAATGTTTTCTTTTTTGCAGAGTCTGTTAGACAAAGATAAATGGGTCCTCTCTGTGAGATGTTAATAAACACTTGTCTTTTGACAGTTCCATACCTAGTAGTAATAATGAACACTTACTCTGTGCCAAGCATTGTGCTAAGTACTGAGGAAAGAAGGACTAGTAAGCAAGATAAATATAGTTCTTGCCATTGTGTTGTTTACAATGTAGTAGATGACAAAATTTTTTTTTATTGTCCTGACTAGTGTTTACATTTTATATCATTATTTTGCTTAAATTATTGACATTTGATGCTGTACAAAAACTTTAGAAGCATTTTGTGTAAGAACTTGCTTATATTAGCATGTATAAACTGTGCAGGACAATAGTTTGAGAGAGCTAAATGGGTTGGTGTATATTTTAAACAAGAATTATAATTTAATATTACCATTTACTATCACATGTAGGTGGGGTTCTAATAGAATAGCTTTTTAAAAAAATCTGAACACTAATCATACATTATTTTTGGCTTCAGGTGGTTACCCTAACAGCTAATGATAAGACAAGTGTTTCCTTCTTCTCTCTCCGAGGACAAGGTGTCCTTTATAATGTCATTGTCCGGGACCCACTTCTCAATACATCTGCTGCTTATGTTCCTGCTCACACATATGCTTGCAGCTTTGAGGCCAAGGAGGGTAATTGTTCTTCCCTCAGTAAGTATATGGATTTAAACTTCGAAATTTCTTCTTTGGCTTTGCAGATCCATGTCAACCAAAAATATTAAAAAATGCTTTTGTCTAGTCTTCATTCATTCAGCAAATGCCTTTTGAGCCCCTCCGTTGTCCCACTCTCTGTTCTAGGCACAGGGATACAGCAGTGAACAAAACAGACAGACTACGTGCCCTCCGGGAGCTTATGTTTTAGCGGGGGAGATGAGACAGACAAGATAAATTTGTAAAATATCCATCATGTGAGAAACTGCTGAGTGCTAAGAAGCAAACATTAAGTAGGAAAGGTGGATAATAACAAGTGACACTGAGGGAAGAAGTTTGAGAGCGATGGCCAGGGAGGCCCATGCGGAAAGGCTAACCGTTGAGTGGAGACCCCGGGGGGTGAGTGGAGAGGTCGGGGGCCAGTGGAGACACGGGGCAAGTGGAGGCCCAGGGTGTGAGTGGAGACCCCGGCGGGGGGGCGAGTGGAGACACGGGGCGAGTGGAGACTCCGAGGGGGTGGGTGGAGACACGGGGCAAGTGGAGGCTCAGGGCGTGAGTGGAGACACGGGGCGAAGGGAGACCCGGGGCGAGGCGAGGCGGGGAGCCCTGCGTGTGTCCGGGCAGTACTGCCAGGCAGAGGCAACAACGGCCCTCAGCCGGGAGCCTTCTTGGTGTGTCCGAAGAACAGCGGCGAGAACAGCGGCCGGAGGAGCCTGAGGAGGGGGAGAGGTGCAGCCTGGTAGGGCACAGCGTGGGCAGAAGCTTCTGTTCAGAGCGCAATGGAAAGGCATTGGCGGGTTTGAGCAGGGAGTGCCGTAATCGGACTCCCGTTCTGACGGCATCACTCTGGCTGCTTCTGTCTTGAGAAAAGTCAGGGGCGAGATCAGAAACGGAGATGGACCAGGCTGTCGCGGTAATTCAGGGCAGAGCGGACAGTGGTTTAGATAGGGTGGTGGCCGTGGGGGCGTTGCAAGATCGTTCTGTGTGTAACGTTGTATTCTGAAATAGTTTCACTGAAAAGATGCAAAAATACGAAGAATTTCGGCATAATCTTCACTCAGATTCCTCAAATGTGAATGTACTATGCGATTTGCTTTTTATTTATAGAGCGCTCGCGTGCGCGTGCTCTCCATATGTATGTGCACATACACTGCTTTCTTTGAGCCACCTGAGAGTAAGTTGCAGACAGAAAGACATTTTTCCCTTAAAATATTTTATTTATTTTCTTATGTAACCATAGTAAAAATGATCAAATTCACAAAATTAACTGATACAGTATTGTTATTTAACCCTCAGATGTTACTGAATTTCACTAGTTATTCCACTAATGTCCTTTATAAAAAAAAAAATGTCACATACTGCATTTAACTGACCTGTCTCTTTCGTCTTCTGTAATCTGAAACAATTCCTCAGTCTGTTTTGTCTTTCAAGACCTTGACCTTTTTGAGGGGTACAGGCTGACTTTTTAGAATGTCCTCCAGTTTGGGTTCGTTTGATGTTTCCTCATGATTAAATTCACATTATGCATTTTTGGTGGGAATACAAAAAAGCAATGTTGTGCCCTTCTTAGGAGGCATTTGGTACCTATTTGTCCCATGACTGGTGGTGATAACCTTGAATATTTGGTTAGTAGTGTCTGCCAGGTTTCATCACTGTAAAGTAACTATTTTCCCTTTAAGTATTCTTGGGCAAGACTCTGAATGCTAGTAGATAGGCCCTTCTTAAACTCCCACTTGCTAGTTTTAGCATCCCATGATTTTTGCCTGAAACATTTATTACTAGGTGGTTGCCAAATGGCAATTTTCTAATGTCATCATTTCTTCATATTAGTTGGCATTCTCTTGTAAGGAAGAGATTTCTCTTCTCCCCTATTTATGTATGTATTTATATACACGAACCCATGGATTCTTAATTCTCTGGATAATCCATCACTATCATTATTTTCATGTTTCAAAGTGCCCATTATTTGCATGTTAAATCATCCCAGATTTGGCCAATGAGTGGCTGCATATATTTTGAAATAGAGCCAGGAATAGTTGCTGGTTGGGTGAGGGGGTTGAAGAAAGGTGTAAAAGATGACTACCATTTTGGCCGGAGCACCTGGAGAGCTAGAACTGCCATTCACTGAAATGGGAAAGACTGTTGGAGGAGCGGGTTTGGGAGCATGTATCAGGAGTTCAGTTTTGGACCTGTTCAGTTTGAGAACCTTAGGAAGCATTCAAGTGGACATGTTGAATTGACAGTTGGTTGTAAATATGCTGGAATTCAGGGGAAAGGTGTGGGCTGGAGATTACCTTGAAATGCATCCAATTAAATCGATGGCATCTAATGCCATGGACTAGATGGCCTTACTGTGAAGTGAGCAAGTAGAAAAGAGACGGGTCTAAGGACAGAGCCCTGGGCACTCTGGTGCTTAGAGGTCAGGAAATTAGGAACTAAAAAATGACCACTGGATTTAGCAACATGGAGGCTGTTGGTGTCAGAGCTGTTTTAGTGGAGCGCTGGGGTAAGCCTTACTGGAGTATGTTCAAGAACAAATAGGAAGAAAGAAATTGGAGAAGAGTCCAGATAGCACTTTCCAGGAGTTTTGCTCTAAAGAATAGTCTATCCATTGTGTTCAGGGATTAGGGTTCCCCTCCTCTGGTAGAGCTGTATCCCATCCAGTCTTCCACTGCCATGCTCAGGATCCTGGAGACATAAAATGTAGGGGACCCAGGCAGATATCAGTTCTGTATCTTTAACTGGTAGACTTAATCTAGGTTCCTCTAGTCCCCTTCCCTTGAGTCCTTCTGCACCAGAGCCCCTCCTAATCCGAAAGCTCCCCTCCCCTGGGTTTCCATCTCTACGTGTTAGCTGAGGAGAAAGGGAGCTCTGATCCTATTCCTCCAACCTCAGTTGACCCCTCCTAGTGATGATGTTGGTCCTATTGTTGCTTTCATTTTCGAGCTTGATGTGTATGAGGACATCTTTCCTGAGCTTGGAGTAGAGAGGAGGTATCCACATTGCCTTTTAATTAAAACTTTGGCCTGTGTATCATAACCTAGATGATACTGTGATGATTAAAGACTGCTCTACTTGGACTGTCTTCTATCCTCCCAGTCCATTCACCCCTTTGTCTTCATTGCCCCCCAAAGTGCCCATTTTCTCTCTAGTTTTGTCTCTAGAGTCTACTTCTTATGAAACCTGCTCTCTGTTTTTTTCCTGTATCATTTGTTTCTGTCCTTTCCTGGTACTGTGAGTGGGGATTCCATTTAGTTTCTCTCTGCTGTCTGATAGCAGGGAGGAAAGCTAACTGTGTGTGTCGTTTTTATTGGGTTGGAAGATCTTGCTAACCTTGATGATTATACTTGCTGGAAACTGCCACTTAGATTTTTATTTGAAAAAAAAAACTATCCCAGCCAACTCCACACTTGTGGTGTAAAGATTAAATCATAGAACAGCAATCAACCACAGGTCTGAAATAAGCAGAATGTGGCGTTTTATCTTTTGTTTCATCTTTCTTTGGGGCGCTTTGTTCTCAGAAAAGCTGCTGTGTGGGTTATGTCTCATGCCCTGCAAATTCTGGTCTTCTGCCTTGTGTTTCTTATTTAAATGTAGGTCTTCATGGTATCTCCATCTGAGCACTCTTAAGCATTTTATGTGTTTTGATCTGTGGTAACATTTAACATTTTCCACATGAGATTGTATAGGTGTTTTGTTTTCATTTTTAGTTCAGGGATTATTTTCTTGTGATAAATCTCAAAGGAGTCATGACAGTGAATTTAGTGTATTTTTCTCTTTGGTAAGCTGTATCTTTTGGTTCATGTTATTTATATTTAAGTTGGTGCCTATTAAGGACCATGAGATTTGGGATTCTTTGGCATCATGAAGTATATTGTGCTTTATTGTTAGTTATAATGCTGCATTTTTTTTTTCAGAAGCAATATGTGTAAAGAAGATGGGCAATAATTTGTTCATATGTGATTTACAGTGTAGTACATGTTCTTTTATTTTAATGTGAATTTTGGTTAAAATTTTTTATGATGAAGAACTTCAAAGAACCTTCATATACTAATTTTTCAGCATTAACGATTTTGATTCATGGTGTGATTTGGTTTCAGCTATATACCCACCTGGGTCTCTGCCTCCTAGCCCTCCTTTATTACTGTATTTTTTAATTTAACTTTTTATTTTTTTTTAAGATTTTATTTATTTATTTGACAGACAGACACAGATCAGGAACACAAGCAGGGGGAGTGGGAGAGGGAGAAGCAGGCTTCCCGCGGAGCAGGGAGCCCGATGCGGGGCTCAGTCCCAGGACCCTGGGATCATGACCTGAGCCGAAGGCAGACGCTTAACGACTGAGCCACCCAGGCGCCCCTATTACTGGATTTTTTTAAATAGCAAATCCATGGCCATCATTTTGCTCACAAAATTTCAGTGTGGAGTGTGTGTATGTGCACACATGTGTGTGTTTGTCCTAAAGATAAGCTCTGTTTTCAAAATATATAGGTACAGTATCACCAACACAAATTTCAGTGAAAAATATTGAAGATAATTCCCTAATAGCATCAAATTAACAGCCAGTACTTATATTTTTCCAGTCACCCAATTGTTTTTCAGTTTTTTTATTTGAATCAGGTTTCAGGTGACACCTATACATCGTATTTAGTTGATGTGTCTTTTAAATCTCTTTTAATCCCTAGTTCTCCTTTCCGTTGCCCTCCTTTTTTCTTGCAGTTTGTGAAGAAACAAAACCATTTTGTGTACACACGACACCCCAAGAATATGTCAAAAGTAGTGCTGCATACCTCGTCAGGAAGCATAGATTGTCTGGTTCCTCTTTTTGTCATAGCAGTAGCATTGATATTCATTGCCCACACAAAATAATTTGTTAGGGGTGGCAAGGGTATTTCCAAAAGTAGGTTTATAATTTATGTGTTTATATTTGTATATGATACATATTATAAATTAAAGTAAGTGTATATTATTGTCAGCTCACTTGGTTTTTTTCATGAAGCTTTGTTCTAGTAACTAAATACAAAGTATTAAATTGGATATATTACCCACTAAATTTTCATTATTTTTAGGAAGAGTATCAACCAAAGTGTTCTTCACCCTTTTTGCCCTGCTTGGTCTCTTCATTTGTTTTTTTGGACACAGATTCTGGAAAACAGGTATTACTGATGTAGTTGCTATTTACGTGCCTTATGGGCTTTTTTGCTTAAATTCTGCTGGGGAATTTGAACTTTAAGGAGATGAGGCAACTGCTTATCTCCAGCTATCTTCATAGATTTGTGACTGGGTTCTTTCCAGTAGACTTTACTTAGTTGCCATGCATTTTAATTTTTTCTGTTAATAATGGAGTATAACTTCCTCTTACTAAGAGGGGAGCAAAACTGGATTTATGCAGCAGACTTCTTCAATTGCTAGGTCGGCCAGCTGACTAAAAATAACTGGGGTTGGAAATCAGGACATTTGTGTAAGAATGTGTGGATTTTGATGATGGTGATTGTGACGTGGTTTCAAATACATCAAGCTGCAGGTCTGTGGTATATGTAGATTGAAATGTCTGCTTAGTCCCAGGAGGTTCAGACTGCAAATAGGAACTCCGCAATCTTCGCAGTGAAACCCATTCAGGGAGTGGAATACAGTAGTCTTCTCTTACCTGTGGGGCATACTTTCCAAGTCTCCTAGTGGATGCCTGAAATTGTGGACAGTACTTGAACCCCATATATATATATATTTTTTTCCTATCCATACATACCTACAATAAAATTTAATTTATAAATTAGGCACAGTAAGAGATTAACAATAACTAATAATAGAATAATTATGGCAAGATGCTGTAATAAGGGTTATGTCAATGTTGTCCCTCTCTCTCAAAATATCTTATTATCCTGCACTTATCCTTCCTGTGCTGATGTGAGATGATTAAATGCCCATATGATGAGATGAAGTGAGGGGAATGATGTAGGTAAGAATTGTGACAGTGTTAGGCTACTATTGACCTTCTGATGGAACCTCAGAAGCAGGATCATCTGCTTCTGGACCATGGGGTAATTGAAGCCATGAAAAGAAAAACCACGAGTAGGGGGGCAACTATATAAATTATGCTCGCTGAATTGATTTGAATTTTTGGGCTGCCTTTTATGTAACAGTGTTTGTAATTACTAAAAAAAAAATCCTTATTTAATTCATTAACAAGGAGTATAACGGAGCATCAAGGAAAGAGTGAAAATAATCCTGATCTCAAACTTTTTAAACTTGCTTTAATAAATTATGAATTGTGGGGGCGCCTGGGTGGCTCAGTTAGGTAAACGTCTGACTCTTGATTTCAGCTCAGGTCTTGGTCTCAGGGTCGTGAGTTCAAGCCCTGTGTTGGGCTCCGTGGGCCTGGAGCCTACTTAAAAAAAAAAAAATTATGAATTGAAATATGCAACTCCGTCTTCATTATTATATTTTTTCTTGATTGAGTAGAAAATATTCTGAAGAATGTTTAATTCCTCAAAGTATAGAATGATTCTAGAACAAAGAATTTAATTGCCAAGCTCTAGGCAAGGTCCCAAAGATATTACTAGGTATTTTAATGGATGAAGACAATGATTAATTATTCATCCTAAATAGGGAAGGATGAATTAAAGGAAGGTATAAAAATCACTTAAAAAAAAAGATTATTTATTTGTCAGAGAGAGTGAGCACAAGCACAAGCAGGGGGAGCGGCAGGCAGAGGGAGAAGCAGACTCCCCACTGAGCAGAGAGCCCGATGTGGGGCTTGATCCCAGGACCCTGGGATCATGACCTGAGCCGAATGCAGATGCTTAACTGTCTGAGCCACCCAGGCTTCCCAAAAGTCTGGGAATACTTTGGAATATTTTACTTTGGAATATTTTGTTATTTTTCCTTTCCTTTTATTTTTGCTCATGTAATAAATTGAAATTTAGGGGCGCCTAATGCAGTGTATCTAACAGTTAATATTTTAATATTGTATTCATTTAATAATATTCACTCCCAATGACTTCTAAATTTTTCCTGTCTTTCGGGTATTTCTTTCCCCTGAATGTCCTAATATGAGTAAATTCTGGAAGCTTAAGCATGTATTTTTTGGTTAGAAAGTTAAGTTGCACTGTGAAAAGAATACCTAACCATAGCTTGTATTTTTTTTTCTTCTTTTTCTGGTGGTTTGCTACTAGAATTATTTTTCATAGGCTTTATCTTCATGGGATTCTTCTTCTATGTACTGATTACAAGACTGACACTTCTTACGTATGATGGTACGTGAAAACAATACAGTTTGATTGGGAAGAAAGGGGTTGTGTTCATGGTCCCCCTTTCTTTCTATAGTTTGACCGTATTGTGTGATAGATAGCCTGTTATGTGTGTAAATAATGGGCCACCTATACTCGAAACATCTTTTCTAGACTACTCATTTAGACCTTCTCTTCTGGGTTTTTAATTTGCATGGTGAATTCCTTGGGACTTAGGGAATTGAAGGGCTATGTTGATTATAAACCCGTGTTCCAGGCTATTTGGTATATTGAAGATACGAAATTTACAACAATCAAAATATTAAGATTTTCTTTACCTTAAAACAAACACAACCCATCCTTCCCTGTCACATTTAACAGAATGCTTGTTGCCCCTTCTTCCTCAGCCCCGATTTATGGGTTGTGCCAAGCCACACCTATCACTTGCCTGGGAGGTTTAGCTCACCTGCTGGTTTGCGCAGCTCAGACCAGCCCCTCCTCAGAGAAGGCCTTTCCGTGCTGGTTGTCAGGGCACTGCCTCAGGGCCTGACCTACAGAAAGGCTAAGGCTGCCTCTGGTAATGGTGGTGTGTGTCTAGCGCATGTGGTAGGAAAAGCTGCCTCTGGTCCAACAGTTCATCTCCTTCTGTGCAGTTCGTCTGATTCTGACAGCCGTCGCTGGAAGTGTTGGTGGGATTCTCCTGGTAGCTGCTTGGTGGCGATTTGGAATCCTTCTCCTCTGCATGCTGTGTGTTGGATTAGTGCTGGGCTTCCTCATCTCCTCAGTGATGTTCTTCACTCCGCTGGGTAGGAGATGTGTCATGTTTTCTGTGTTCAGTTCACTGTTTGCAAGACCTTGTTCGGGTTCTCTGTGTACAGATACTGCCCCATCAGGGACTTGGGGCCTTGCCTGTAGAGTTCTGGAAATTTCTATTGATGATGTGGCGCTTTAGGGAGGGCCAGTACAAAGTGAATCTTAAGTGGAAGCCCAGTTTATCCCACAGATCAACTTGGCACTGCTCTGCTGGCAGCCGAGTTGGGAACCTGGTGCTTCGTTCCCGGTTGTCTTATACCCCAGCCTTCACTCCCACCGTCTGCCAGACCCCAGGCGTTCTAACATACCTACTTGTCATCTAGGGCAGCAGCACAGGGGATGGTTCTGGGAATTTTTTTTTTTTTATTTTAAGTAATTCAGTTTTTACTTAGAATGCTTAGAATGTGGTTAACTTGTAGGTTAACTTTCTTTTGTAGGGCAGGAGAAATTTCCCGTCTATCCTTCTAAGGTTCTTCGGCTGGTCTAATCATTAAATTGATAAAAGACAGATTAACAAGAGAACAAATTTAATTTTGTATGTACAGGAACCCCTTAAAAGTATGGGACCCAAAGGCAGTCAGGCAGTTGAGCCTTCTTTGTCACCCGGAGCTAAGGAATGGGGTCGGTGCCTGGGGTTTCAAAGGTGGGGAGGGCAAGTCACAAAAAAAGAAGAAGAGCAGACATTTGGTAATCAGATGTTTGCCCTACCAGGCAGTTAAGTAATTCAGATAAAATCGTTATCACTGGTAGTTGCTCTCTTTCTGGGTCAGGCTCCCTATGTAAATTCTTTTAGGCAGTTAGTGAAGCTATTAAAGTTTTTCCTGACCCTGCCGGGTCTTGATTGCCTTCAACTAAAAATAATCCACATGCCAAAGTGGCACATTTTAGGGCGCCTGGGTGGCTCAGTTGGTTAAGCGACTGCCTTCGGCTCAGGTCATGATCCTGGAGTCCCGGGATTGAGTCCCGCATCGGGCTCTCTGCTCGGCAGAGAGTCTGCTTCTCCCTCTGACCCTCCTCCCTCTCATGCTGTCTCTCATTCTCTCTCTCTCAAATAAATAAATAAAATCTTTAAAAAAAAAAACAAAAAAAGAGTGCATCCTTGAATGCAGTGAAGGAGCATTTAAAAAAAAAAAAATTTAAAATTTATAAATAGGACTTCTGATAGAGTCTTCCCGGGTCACTGTAGACGTGCCGCATTTTGGAGAAGAGTTTAGTAGAAGCGCAGGAAAGTGGTTAGCTTCCGTCTTTCCTGATGCATGAGGAATCACATCTTCCAGGATGCAGTGGCTGGGCAGGAAATGCATTGATGGTAAAAATCTAGTAAATGGATTTTGCTGCTCATTTTGGGTAGGAGTTCAAATAGTTAGCTCTGAATGCCATTTACTTGCACTTTTTACTTTGCAGTACAAAATCATGGAGTGATAGAAACAGAGCAAGGAAGGATGGTTTGGAGCTTGGCCACGAAATAGTTCAGTCTTCTCATTTTATGGGTTAGGAAACAGGCTCAGTATCGCAGCTAGTGAATGGAAGAGCTTGGACTAGTCCAGCCTCTTCTGAATTTTCCTGGGAATAAATGCAGAGCATGTACCTGCTTGATTTTCCTCCCACCCCTCAACCTTCTAAGACACATCCTTAAAAGTTGATTGTATTGGCAGTTAAATGAAAAAAGTCAGAATTCATTTCTAATTGTCAACCTATTCCCTGGTGATTATAAATCTTGATGCATGTCTGTGTTTAGATGTTGAGAAAATGAAATTGAACTTGGTAAACCTGTTAACTCTTGCTTTCTTTTTGCTTTTTCAGGAAACCTGAAGATTTTTCAAGACGATGGTGTGTTCTGGGTGACCTTCTCTTGTATAGCTGTTATCATTCCAGTAGTTTTCATGGGCTGCCTAAGAATAGTAAGTGTTTCATCAAGTGAGATTTATTCATCCTATTGTCCCGGGCCTTCGTTCACTCACTGCATCATTTTGCATGTTTTATTTACCGAGGAGAGCTAGCTACATGAGAATCTTTAGGAAATGATTAATTTTAATTAGCCTTGTTACTGTGAAAGCAAGAGAAGTTCTGATTACAATTAGCACAGTGTTTTTTTCATCAAGTGGGGCTGGTCACTGCTGTCAGTATGCTTTGAACAGTGGGAGCAGAGAGGTTGAGCTCACTGTAAATGCACAAGCTGATGGATCATTAGTTTCAACAGTCTCTCCAGACAAAGTGTTCTTCATCTAATTAGACTGTTATTGAGGTTCTTTCACAGGGAAGACATTTCCTTTTTTTTTTTTTGACTTTATTTATTTGAGAGAGAGCGAGAGCACAGCAGGGGGGCAGGCAGAGGGAGAGGGAGAAGCAGGCAGCCCAACATGGGGCTCTATCCCAGGACTCTGGGATCATGACCCGAGCCGAAGGCAGACGCTTAATGACTGAGCCACCTAGGCGCCCCAGGGAAGACATTTCCTATGAGTAAGAACTCACTGTGGGTGTGGAAGGTGGTTTTCAGTTTAACCTTCCAGGTAACCTTTATTCAGTGCTGAGACTTGACCCCATTTCATGTGCCCTGAGGGAGCAGAAGGGATTCCCTGTGATTGAGGCCAGTTGGGGAGGGTTAAAAACTATTCCTTGTTCTACTAGCGGCGATGCCTAAACGCTTCACTCTTCCACAGCTAAACATACTGACTTGTGGATTCATTGGCTCCTACTCGGTGGTCTTAGCCTTTGACAGTTACTTGTATACAAGCCTTTCTTACATCACTTTGAATGTACTCAAGAGAGCACTCAACGTGGATTTCCACAGAGCTTTCACAACTGTGCCTTTTCAAACTAATGGTAAGACTAAATCCAAGAACGCGAGTGATAGTCAAGTAAGAATACTGGCCCGCTTGTGCTAACAAGAGCACTTGGTAACTAGACTGAAAGAAGGTTAACTGGACAAGAGGAGGAAACTCACACCATACAAATGTATTAGAGCCTTCTGTTAATAATAACTTATGATCATGGGAGAAAAGAATTTAAATTTGTAAGGTGGTTGAAGTTCATACTTCTAAAAATCTTCTAAATGAACTTTAAGAAATTTCTCAACCAGGATTACTTAGGTTACCTGGTCAGTTCCCAGTGGTGAGAAAAATCCTGGGAACAAAGCTGTTTGGTTGGGGTGGGATGAGGGATGAGAATGACAGCCTGATTGTTAAAGTTATTCCCTTGTTTCCTTCCTTTAAAGAAGCACGTAATTTGCTACTTGAAAGTGAAAAAGTGATTTTCAATCAGAAGGTGTTATTGTTTCTGCAACTGTAAGATTCTACCCATTAAAGTAGAAAAGTCATCTCCATAGACTTTTTGAAGAAAAAAATGGCTAAATTAAATGTTCACAATGAATGTAGGATGTATTGGTTTCAGAAATGTTAAAAATATGGAAGATGGAAAATTATGTCTTGTTGTTGAAGATATATAAGCATAGTCATGATTGCTGTGACTGTTTAAGGACATATCTTTCCCTCTACCATCCTGAGCCTGCCCTCACTGGATAAGAGGTTGATGCTACATAGAGACTTTGAAATCCATGTGTCTTGCAAGTTTTACATACAAAACAATATTTTGTCAAGCCTTTACTAGAAGCTCAGTTACAGTTTGTTGAATCTCTTCATGCATTTCTATCACTCTGCATGAGGGGGGTGGGGCCCCATATTGAGTGGAATGGGGGGAAAAAAGCAGGGTGGCATCTAATGTTCCGTGATGTACGTTTGTGAGGTGTAGCTAGAGGACTGCTTTCTCCCCGCCCCAGCCCCAGAAAAACAAAAAAACCAACCACGCCTGTGGGCACTGGTCACAGAATGTTGGAATTCCAGGGATCCAAACAACTGATTTCTTACAGCCTTTCTGGACTTTCAAATGCCTATGATAGAAAATTCCCATTTTAAAATTTAAGACTGTAGCTTCCTTATTCATTCCTCGGCTGTAAGTGAGGAAATACACGTTTGGCCAAACTCACAGAAAGTCTAATATTGCTGAGAAAGAATGACACAGATTTAAACTATGAAAGGTTAAGTGTTAGAGCTCTGTTAGGTTTTAAAATACAAGAGTTCAAACTTCTTTCCTGCTGTTTTTTAGACTTTATTATCCTGGCTGTATGGGGGATGCTTGCCGTAAGTGGAATTACATTACAGATTCGAAGAGAAAGAGGGCGACCGTTTTTTCCTCCCCACCCGTACAAGTTATGGAAGCGAGAGAGGGAGCGCAGAGTTACGAACATTCTGGACCCTAGCTACCACATCCCTCCATTGAGAGAGCGGCTCTGTGGCCAACTAACCCAGATCAAAGAACTCTTCCGGAAGGAACAGCCAGCTGGAGAGAGAACACCTCTGCTTCTTTAGATGCCAAAGGGCTCGGTCAGTGTGATCCTGAAGTACAACTCAAGCGGTGCCCCAGCTTTGGTGTGTATGCCCAGCCTGCTTCAGCCATCTCCGGTGCAAGTCTGAGAACAAAACAGGCTTTTGTATCTATCTGTGCTTTGCACAATATTGTGGTGTCCTCATTGATATATTATCAAAAGGTACCCTTCTTTTGTTTATTTTTAATTGTGGTAAAATTACACATTTACTGTATCAATCATAAAGTGTATAGTTCAGTAGGCACTTTGTTTTTGCCTTTTATTGCTTAAAATGCTAATTTAAATACTAAATTATGTCAGTTATTTGAAAATAGGTCAACTTATATAGATAATAAAACTTTGATATGTATACAATGCCTCATTTTTTTTTTTCTTTAAAGGCCTTTTAAAGTAGTGTTGACATCTGATTTCCAATTTAAAGTGCATTAGAATTGTTTCTTGGGAAACCAGTTGGCTCCTACCCTAATCTGTAGTTCCATTAGTAAGGAAATCTTTTAAAATTTGCATTTTGTAGTTCTTTCTGCTAAATTGGTTGTAATTAGCATTGATGTAAAACACAGGTTTCAAAAATTTTCTTTTGTATAAAGACTTTGTACCATCTGTTTTAGTGATGAGGAGGGGGTCAAAAAGGAATTAGGTGTTTAAAGGAGCTGCTTTGAATTAGGACCTTGGATTCTGTAAGGAAAGTCCCTTCAGTTTTGACCCTTTTTCCCCACAAGCAAGCACCTGGATACCCTGGGCTGCATACCTACTCCTCATGGCCTTTTCTCTTAACTGTCAGAGATGCTTGCTGCCTCTGGTTCTGCTGTGGATTGTAAGCTGGGGACTCCGACAAGCCTGAGTCATAGTGAGGATGGTTGTGGTTGGTTGCACACACATTTGAGAGTCAGCCACTACTTAAACGATGCTGCTTTTAAGAGTTTTTTCAAAGTACAATAGATTTTTGAAGTTTCAGGTAACTGGAAAATTTTCAGTTTTTGCATTTTTAAAAGTGTTTTTGGAAAGGCTGAAACAAAGTGCAGACATACAAAACTAATCATTTTTCCTTTGCAAAATTACATATAGGTGTTTATTATTCTGTAACTGTTTATGTAACTTCAGTAATACTTAAACTTGAAATTTTTTTTAAATCACTTTAAGGATTCTGGCTTCTGCCATATCCTTGTACATTCTAACAAAGTTCTTTGGAATGTTTGAGTTATTTTCTGTACCATCACCGTGTATTGCCACTGAAGACTGTAAAGACAGAGCACACTTTTTTGGAGGCTTGAGACAAAGTGTTTAAAAATTTTCATAATTTGAGTAATAAAAAGCCAATTTGTATAATTTTAATAATAAATACCTATTTTGAAAAAAATGCTGAAAGTCTCATTATTATTAAATTTTTTAACCAACTGTATTTGTACCATAGCAACAAAGACATGAGAGAAGTTTCATAGGTATAAAATTACTTCATCTGGAGAATTAAATCTTTATTTTAAAGATTTAGTTTAATCCTAAATGAAATAATAGGAAATGAAGGAAATCTGAGGCAGTGTATTAACATTTATATCCCTTGTTAGAAGGAAACCTGGTGTCTTTGGTGGACTAATTTGTGTTGGTGTCCTTAGCACTTCAGGTTTGTCCAACTGAAGAAAAGAAGTACTAGTATTACCAGAAAATTAGTTACACTATTCCTTAAATGTTTTAGTTCCAATTAACCTGTTACAGGTTAGCTACCAGGTTGCCAAACCACAGCAGCTAACTAGTGCTATGGACCAGTGGAGTTCTGTAGGAGTTTGGGATAGAAAATGGATTCTACCAAGGAAATTGCTAGACTATTAGACCAGGTACAGGCCTTAAGAGATCATGTGATCTGACCCCTTACTTTATAACTAAGGAAATTCTTGATGGAGTCAATTATATGAAGTCACTATTATCAGGAATAGTGCCCAGATCAAAATTTGGGATACCTGACTTCCATCCAAGTGTGCTTTACACTGTATCATAATGAAAATGTAAACCATTGATCAATTTTCAATTTTCTTCTGCTGGTGAACTGGTGACAACACAGTGAGAAGGCAGCCTTCTGTAAGCAGAGGAGAGGCCTCAGTGGAAACCAGCCTTGATCTTGGACTTCCAGCCTCCAGAATGGTGAGAAAATAAATTTCTTTTGTTTAAGGCACCCCGTGTGTGGTATTTTATGGCAGCGCTAGCTAGAAACTAATACACTTCAGAAATCATTTTACCCTGATTGTTGATTGGAAGACTTCTGGGCAATCTGGCCACTGTGTTTGCAAGGACCACTCTAGGAAATGGAGGTAAAGAGGGGCTCAAGCTAGTGGAAGCTTGGGCTTACCCAAGGACTACCATATAATCATTACACTGGGGAGGTTGGCAGGTCTGGATCCGGCTATATCAGCATAAGAGGCAAACAACAAGAAACCCCCCACGTACAATGATAGTAGTTTTTACTTGGATCTCACCTTTACTCATTACATAAATATGTGTTGAATTCCTAAGTGCCAGGCCATGCCTTGGGTACTAGGAAGAAGATGCAAAATATACTGGCATGGCCCCCGCCTCATGGTTTTGAGTGTGATGAGACAGATACTAGAGTAGTTACACAGAGGAGGTACAATATGCAATGAACTTTAAAATTGATGGGGGGTAGAATCCGGATGCCAGGGAGGAATTCCTTGAAATGACACTTAAGCTGAGACTTGGAAGAGGAGTAGGAGTACCAAACCACAAGGAGGCTGAGTGCATCCCACGTAGTGGGGTTGAAAGCGTAATGAAAAGCTTCCAGGCCTTCCCTTCTCTGTGGAAAGCCCCCAGAGGAGTCTCTCCCCTGTGCCCTGCCAGTCCTTGCGGCCCTTCACTTTGGTGCTTGGTGGGGTCAGTGAGCCCATTCTTTGCTTTTCACATTTTGATCCAGAAAGGATGTTGTTGGTGGTGGTTTTTTTTTTTTTTAAATTGAGATGTAATTGACCTACAACACTATGTAAGTTTGAGTACAGTATTTGATTTGGTACATTTATGTTACAGTATCAGTATGATTACCACCACAGAGTGAGCTAATGCCTCTTGTCATGTCACATCATTACTCTTTTTGTGGAAACAGGATGTAGTCTCTTGGCAACCTTGAAGTTTATAATACAGTATTGTTGACCATAATCCTTTGAAAAGCTCCAGATTTTATCTAATTGCGAGTTCATTCCTTAAATAACATTTCCCCAATTCTCCCACCTCCAGCTCCTGGTAACCGCCATTCCACTTTCTGTTACTAGATATTTGGGTTTTTTAGATTCCACATAGACATGATATCATCCATTGTTTGTCTTTCTCTGACTTCTCTCACTTGGCATAATGCCCTCAAGGTCCATCCATGTTGGAAATGGCAGGCTTTATCACGGCTGAATAATATTCAATTATATATGTATACACACCACATCTTTATCCATTCACCCACTGATGGACATTTAGGATGTTTCCCTGTCTTGGCTATTGTGAATAATGCTGCAGTAAACATGGGAATTAGCCATTGTTTTCAAGATCTTGCTTTATATTTCCTTTGGCTATATACCCGGAAGTGGGATTATTAGATCAGATGGTTTCTTTTTATTGTCTGTCTTCCTTGTTAAATTTTATCTATACTATAAAACTGCACAGAGCATATCTTGTCTATTTACCTTTCTTTTTCATTTTCTCCTAAGTCCCTAGAATTTAGCAGTTGTTTCCTGGCAGGGGGGTCAGAACACTTGAATGATCTACAATCTGTGGTCCTCAAATTCTTTCCTTCTGTTACAGAGTCCTATTAACATACCTCTATATAAGTATAATATACCTGACTCTGCACCCCCACCCCCTGTGTGGATTCCTTCCCTTGGAAGGAGGTTAAAGGATGGCCACGATAGCTTTTTTACTTTGAAGTTCTTAGGAGCTAGAAGGCTTATTCACCATGGTTCATGACTCCTCCTGCTAATGGATTCTCTATTGTCCAGACTGGCTTGCATGTTCTCTGGCTTGCCTGAACTGGGCAGAGCTTTAAGGAAGGGGGTGGAAGATCAGAAAATGATGCAGATGGAAGAAGTAGTTGAGACACATTAAGTGTGCCTTTGTTCCCCAGTTCAGTGTTTTCAGCAATTGAACTGGACCTTAACACCTTTTTTTTTTTTTTTTTTTAAAGATTTTATTTATTTTAGAGAGTGCGAGTGCATGAGGAGGGGGAAAGGGCAGAGGGAGAAGGAGAGAATCCCAAGCAGACTCTGCACTGAGCGCTGGGCCTGGCTCAGGGCTCAAATCTCACGACCCTGAGATCCTGACCTGAGCCAAAACCAAGAGTCAGACACTTAACCAACTGAGTCACCCAGGCGCCCCAACACCTTTTTAAAATAAACTAGCCGCCTCATTTGGAGCAAACCATCCATATATAAAAATTGCTTAAAACTGAAATATATGTATTGCGAGGGCTAGGCCTACAGTTCTAGAGGACTACTCTCATGGACAGAATTAAAGGCTTTCCTCTGAAAAAAAATCTCCATCTTGCTTATTAATGCCTGAAAGTTTTGGGGCGCCTGGTGGCTCAGTCGGTTAAGCATCTGCCTTTGGCTCAGGCCATGATCTCAGGGTCCTGGGATGGAGCCCTATGTCAGGCTCCCTGCTCAGCGGGGAGCCTGCTTCTTCCTCTGTCCATGCTCTCTTCCTCTAATAAATAAATAAAATCTTAAAAAAAAAATGCCTGAAAGTTTTTCAACAGAGGACAGTCTTCCATTTCACAAGTAGAGCTACTTTTCTTCCAAACCAGCTCTCCCTCCTAAATTCCTTTATGATATATACCAGTGATTCTCTACAGAATTTTCTCCTGAATGATGTTTTTAACCTCTTATATTCTATAGGTCTAGAGTCTGCATGACCAAGAATAAAATCCTTATAAAGTTTTTATTTATATTCCAGTTAGAGACAGGTCTTAAAATGAACATATTCTAGAAGTTAACATTTGAAGAATTCATTCACTTGATCTCACATCAACCTGTGATTTAATAACACTGAGTACTTGACCACTGAGTGGTGCTGAAATTTGAGATGAAGCTGATAAATCCTTGGCATTTTAAAGTAGCCAAGGTCTAGCCCTATTCATCTTCAACTGTATATACAGACGGAAGCAATGTGAAGGCTTGGGGTTATACACTGGGACAGGGACAAGCTCTTGGAACACTGATTCTAACCAGCTTTCTTCTTTGTTAGTTTTATAGAAAGCCCAAATGTAGCTTTCCTAGCAATGTGTGATACTCAAGAAGTATATATCCTGTGCTTCAAGAGTAAGATGTTTTTACTCTGGGTCCAGTTCTACCTACTGATACTGATTTCAATATAGTGAATTTTCTGAAGGCTTTAGTTATTTCAAAGCAGTGGGTTTATGCTTTTCCTTTTATGTAGGTTTACTCCTTTTTCCTCATATGGAAAAAAAAACTTGCAAGGGATATCATTAACTGGAAAAAAAAAATTGAGGAACCAAGGTGTATTTGAGATTCCGATTGTGTGTGTGTGTGTGTGTATGTTTAAAAGCATTTATAGGGGCGCCTGGGTGGCTTAGTTGGTTAAGCAACTGCCTTTGGCTCGGGTCATGATCCTGGAGTCCAGGGATGGAGTCCTGCATTGGGCTCCCTGTTCAGCAGGGAGTCTGCTTCTCCCTCTGACCCTCCCCCTCTCATGCTCTTTCTCTCATTCTCTCTCATATAAATAAAATCTTTAAATGGTTTTATTTTTAATTTTTTTTTATAGATTAAGTTTTTCTGATTCACAAGAAACTTGTAATTACTTCTGGGAAGACATAAGTTGTAGGAAGAGATTGACTTTGAGCTGTCATATTTTCTGTATGCTGGATTTTTAACCGTGTACATTTATTTTTTCCTTTAGGTAAAAGATAAATTGTAACAAAAAGGAACATAAACTTTTGAGAATTTATATACGCGAAATAGGTACAGTACAGAAAATATGTACACAGATGTTTAAAGAAGCATTGTTTTATGTTAACAAAAATTACAGTGTGAATATCCATCAGTAGGAGAAATAGTTGAATAAATTATGACATCTATATAAAGATAGTTTCTGTTGCCTGCAAACCAAAGTTTTTTTGTAACTAATTGACTAGTGTATGTAAAACAACGGAATTAGTTGGAAGTATACTGATGTTATTTTCTTCTGGACATTTCCCCCTATGCATTTGATTTTTACATAGTTGTAATTATATGTGCAATTTAGTATTAAGGTTTTTGTTATGCAAATTTAGGTAATATTTTGTTACCGTTGCTAGAATTTTTAAGCCGTAGTATATAATAAACTGCACTGGGTAGATATTGATAGTAAATTAATTTAATAATCTGGACATAAACTATTTCCCTATTGTATGATATTTAGGTCGAATCTAATTTGTTCACTGTACCACCTATCATAATGTGGCTTTAACCTGGGGAAGCAGTGGAGATGGTGAGAAATGGTAGGATTCTGATATATTTAGAAGGGAGGGTCAGTAGGATTTGCTGATGAATTGGGTGTATGACATAAGAGGAAGTAGAGTCAAAGATGCCACCAAGGTTTTTTTGCCTTAGCGGCTAAAAAGACGGAGTTATCAGCTGAGATGGCTGGAGAGTAAGGATTGCTTTGAGCATGTTGAGTCTGAGATCTCTCTTTGATAGTTACAGTTGAAGGAGTCTGGAGTTAATGAGAGGTTTAATGAGAGCTGTAAATTTGGGAGTCATCAGCATTACAGGTGGTATTTAAAGTCATGAGACTGGATGAGATCACCAAGGAAGTGAGTAGGAATACAGAGTAGAAATAAGGACTGAGCCCTGGGGCTCTCTAATTTTAAGTCAGAAGAAAGAACAAAAGCAACCACTGAGGTAAAATAAAGCCCCTTCAAATTCCAATTAGAAATTATTCTTCATCGATGTTTCACTGAAAAATGCAATCCTATTTTACTCTGACCATCAGAAAACGTAGAGATCACCAAAAATTGAGTTATGGATCTATAATCTTTCAATCATTGAGGCAGTTTAGAAATAAAAAATTTTGGAAGTCACCTTTATAATAAAGAATATCAAGTTGAGCAGATAACCCTTTATCTGTGAGGTTGTATATAATTGTTTTTTTAGAATTGTATTTCCTATATAAAATAAAAAGTAGTGGATAGATGATAAATAGATACTCCTTTTCCAGGGCTGCTATAACAAATCACCACAGGCTGGGTGGCTTAGCAGAAATTTATTCTCACAGTTCTGAAAAATCAAGAAGGCCAAAAGTCTGAAATCAAGCAGGGCTGGCCCCTTCCAGAGGCTCTGAGGAACAATGCATTCCATACCCTTCTCCTGGCTTCTGGTGGCATCGCAGGGTCCTGAGGCTTGCATAACTCTTTGCCTCTGTCTTCACATGGCCTTCTCCCTCATGCCTGTTTCAAATATCCTTCTTTAAAGATACTGGTCAATGGATATAGGGCCCATCCTAAATCCAGGATGATCTTATCCCAAGATCCTTAAATCTGCAAAAACTTAAAATATGGTCACATTCACAGGTACAGGAGGTTAGAACCTGGACATACCTTTGCGGGGACACTCTTAAACCCACCACATGTAATAAAAAGGCTTGCAGGATCAGGAATAAGTTGCTGGCCAATTCCTAAGAAATACAGATAGAAGTTGTTGCTAAGTACTAGTTTTGTGGTAAGAGAGAAGATGCCATAAAAATAAACTATTAATAAATGTAAGCATTGTTCTCAAATTAACTTGGAGACCGTATCAATTTCAATCGTTCATCTTTATTGATAAAACAGGCTCTTATGCAGTACACACTCTCAGACATAAATTTAAGGTTTTGCTTTAAAAAAAAAAAAAGTATGGATGTTGCTATATAACAAAGTAAATATCTTTAAACACCAAGATCTTAAAATTATATCCAAGTAAGAAGACTAAGAATAAATTAACTTGTTTATAAAAATAATTATCAAGTAACATTCTGTAATAGAGCTGCCTCAATGAATTGCCTCAGACTTAATCTCAACTGTGTAGCTTATTTTCTTTAATTCTGACTTGGGATAAAAACTGTATGAATGAATGTGCCACCAAATTAATAGATACTTTCCCCAAAACCAATAGAAAAGTTTAAAAATAAAAATTGTCATTTATAAAATATCAATTAAGGCCTCTGAGAAATGAGATCTATTCAGTGTTTGGGCCATTAGCCCTTTCAGTCAGCCCCATCGACCCCACTTACTCCAAACTTAAGATAGAAAAATTTCAAAGTGAAAAGTGGTTTTGAATTTTACCAATATATGAAATTATACACAAAAATCACCATGTGAATATTTCTTTAACAAATTACATACCCAAAAGTAGAATTTGCTACTGTGCTAATTTTAATATAAATGAGTATATTTAATCATGTGATATTTTTCTTTTATCCTTTTATTCTATAATCACAAAATAAGAAAAATTTAGATTTCAATTGATGTTAAAGTACATTTCTATTTCTAGTGGCTTTTAAAAATTTAAATACTGGATATTATTTTGTAAAAAATAAAACAAATACTTATAAATCCATATATTTCCTACCCCCCAATCCCCCTATGGACTGAGAGGTTACAAGAAAAACCTTAACAGGTTATGAGGACCAGATAGAGCTTAAGAATAGATCCAGAAAACAATTTTTTTTTTTGAAATTTTAGCTTACTTTCTGTATCTCTTAAGAACACTTTTAAAAAAGGGTTCAATGAGGCAGAGCAAATTTGTTTACTTTGAAATTACCATACCTAGCTTGCTATATCAAACATTTCAACTGTTAGCTAAAAGAGCTATGTAATATACTTAAAGATCAACCAGAGAAGAGAAAAATCTCATCTTCATTATTGATTTAGAACCAAAACTTAATCTTTCAAAGGAGTAGTTTAACCTACTAATATGTCTCTTAGAAGATCTTCTTTCTTAGAAAGTAATATTCTTTCTCTTTCATTCCTGAAATGATATTTCATATACTTAAGGAACTTATGGACAGTTGTTAGCTGACTATTTTAATTATGGTAAATTAGCTAAAATTAAATTACCTCTTTTGTTTATGGTGCATATATAAAACATTCCTACAGCCTTGCTAACTGAATTTTCTTTGATAAAAATTTACATTTATGGGAAGGTAGACAGGCAATCATTAAAGCTGAAGTCTCATGGTACATAAAGCTATTTGTTAACTCTGACACCATAGAGGGAGGAGAAATAAAATTTAGTATGACAATCTTCCATTCACAAAACTGTGGCAAAATGCAGATAATTTTATGAATTCCCAAGCACTTACTGGGGATAATCACACTTACCCAAGTATCATACAGAATGCCAACTGCACTGCTGAAAGCTCTTGACGGTTCAGCACTCAGAAAATCTTCAGTTTGTTCATCAATTAACAAAGTTTCTATTTTAAATTTTATTTTGGAATAAAGTCTATGACCATTAATTATGCATTTTTTTGTTGCTATCTCAAGAATGTCATTGCCAGTGCACTGTACATACTACAGAAAAAAATAAAGCAAAGGGTAGCTTGAGACAGATTTTTCTGTTCATTCATTCACTTTAGTGGGCCAGTCCCAGTCACCATTTGGAGCCTTATAAGAAGCTCACAGACTTACAGGCTCTTCAGCTCTTCCTCAGACTCAGATCACTATTGGTCACTAATGCTGACAAAGATGAATTTTCAGACATATCATCCTTCCTAAGGTTCAGAAATGATTCTCGAGTTATTTGAAGGATCTCTCTCAAGCCTTTGTTTTCTTGCTAAAAGAGGGCAAAAACAAAGATGTAGTCAGCAAGATAGCCCCAAGAATACAAACGTATCTTAAGCCAAACATATGAAGCTGTGACAGAAGGTTCTATCATTCAAAAACAACAAAAAAGAAAGTTCTGTCATTGGCAGACATATACTCAATGACAGATGCAGTTGAAACTGACAACTTGAATCCAGAGAATACTTTTTTTAAAGAGATAGAAACTGCTCAGTGTTTTCCACCAGTGCAAAGCCTTATTCAGCTGTGATTGTAGATGGAAGCTCAGAAACTGCCTTGTTTTACACTCACAGTATAGATGAAATAAATAACACCTAGATTTATAGTTCTATAAACTCAACAAAGCCTGTGAATAATACCCTGGGACTAGAACCTCTTTGTACTTTAGTACTTTTACTCCTTTCCATGAGAGCGTGGAATGCAGGACAAGCCATCTGGTTTGGTTTGTTTTCTTCACTGGAATTTGAAAGCAGCAGGGCTGAGTGAGTGAATCGTGATATTTTTCAAGGGAAGTGACCAGATCTAGCACTGATAACCAACTTTTTTTCCTAGATTAGCTACTGTAAGAAATTAGCAGACATTTAAAAATAACTTTTATAATTCTCAACCACTTTGTCTTCAGTCTTACTTTCCAAGTTTCATTGGTACAAAGCAGGGATCAGCAAACTACATACAACCTGGCTTGAGGTCTGTTGTTTGTAAATTAAACTTTATAGGAATATACAATCTTTTTTGTGTATATGGCTGCTTTGTGTTACAACGGCAGAGTTGAGTAGCCGCAACAGAGAATGTCTGGTTTGCAAAGCCTAAAATATTTTCTGTCTTGTCCTTTACTGAAAAAGTTTGCTTACCCCTGTTTTAAAGAATGCTTAGAGACAGAAATCACTTTTGGCCCTTTATAACCAGTAATATCTCCACCATGATTTCAAAATGAAGCTTCTAAAGTATAAAAGTCTATTCTACTGATTTGAATTATTCAACAATGATTTATGCCTTTGCTACCACAAAATAAAGGACAGAAAAGCTTTTACATTCCCCAGAAAAATATGAGTGCCCAAAGAATATTTGTGGATTAAAAAAATTTTCCCTGCATCATCATGATCTCCAACAGAATGAAGGAATTTTTTAAATTACTAAATTAAAAAGCATATTCACCCAATAACAGGAAGCAACACAGGATCAAAACATCAATTTTCTCAAATATCGCTATAAGTTACTACTGATCCTAGACTCTTCTATTACTATGGAAATGGTCTTGCATTATATACCCGTATAACCAGTATCCAGGTTAAGAAAGAGAACATTGCCAGTTTTCCAGAGAAGTGTATACATATATTTTTAAATAGGATGTATTTTCTGGCATAAATCTTTGTATGGACAGTTTTCACCCACATTTGCAATTTAAAACTTACTTCAAGTTGAAATATTCGCTCCTGCTCCTTGCAACCCTGTTGTTCATCAATTTCAATGGCTTTCCTCATTACTGCTGCCATTTCCGTTATCTGATCAACATGTGCTTGTAATTCCTGAAAAAAAGAGATGGGAGTTGCAAATCAGTGAAATACTTTATTTTTATTTTGGATCCTCTCCTTTTTAAAAAGATCTGCATTGCCACTTAATATGAATGTAATATTCTTACATTGCCATTTAACATGGAGGTACTATACCAAACATATTTACAAGAAAGTTGACTGACCATGAATGTGCTTTTGAAATCAGACTTCTGTTAGGGCTACAAGTAAGGATAAGCAGCACAATATAACTAAACCCACTAGCAAGAAGAATACTCATATTTCATATTCCTCTCACCACAAATGATCAACACCTTTTCCTTTTTTATACCTACATATACTACTAATCAAAGTAATGCGGAAGACAAAAATTATTGACACATTCGATCTCTTTACCCCTAACATCTTCATGATTTACAAATCTTTTCTGTATTATCCGTGTCTAAAAACTGATCTCAATCTAACCTAGAAACTTTTCCAGATTATAATCTTCTTTGAGAGCAGGAACTGTATCTTGTTTCTATTTGCCTGTGTCTGGTACATAATGGATAATAAATATTGAATAAAATGAACAGACATCTGCTTTTGAGTATTAAAATATTAAATGTCCTTCTTTGCAAACTGTTCAAAGTATCACTTAGGTATAAAATAGCCACATTTATTTGGTGCAGCAGGTAGCATAAATTTCTTCCAATCTCATGCTATTATTCTGTTTTGCACACCTATATGATATGCCACGCACCTGCGAGGCAATAGGAATCTGAAACCTATCAAGACATGTTCCCTGATTTCAAGGAGCTTAGATTCAAGAGAGAGAGACAGACACGAGGTTTAAAAATCAACAGAAACTTGAGAATAATCATTTTTTCAACAGCTTCTAAGACCATTATTCACTGGCAGTTGAGGGTGATTTTATTATATTAAGGTCAAACTTCAAAAGCTAAAACTTCCCCAATAACCCTGTCTCTTAAATAACTGTATATATCTGATTTGTATAAAGGGTTTGGAGAGGACCTCCAAAACCCACAAAACTAGTAAATTGTGGAAGAATGGAGAACAAACAGTATCTTTAGCAAGCCACACATTTAGTATGTTCTAACCAACAAAAATGCAGGTCCTTAGGTTATTTTAATGGGGACACCTATACAATGCTAGCATGCAGAAAGGCAAAACAAAAGGACTAATCTACACTACCCAATACGATGCTATATAAATGTCAATTAAAATTAAACACCTTTTAAAAAGTTAATTCAGTCCCTGAGTTGCACTATTGACACTTGAAGTGCTCAATAGCCACATGGTGCTGAACAGCACAGATAACCTTTCCATCATTTCAGGAAGTGCTAGTGGACAGTCCTGGATTAGATTATGGTAGCAAGAATAATTATCAAGACAAACATCTGTCATATTCTGAAATAGTATTTTAAAAATGATTAATATCCTTCCCTCTGGAAAGGGAGCATGATGTTTAAAAGCAAGTAAAGTACAGACAACGGCAGCAACAGACTGAGGATGATAAATAAAAATCCTGAATACCAACATTTTCTTCAGTTTATCATTTAGTGTCCTTTTATGGTAAAAGGCTGTACAGGAAGCAAGTAATTCTTTGCTTTTAAAATGGAAGAAAATGAGATTCCACTAATTTTTTCAGGACAGTCTATTCTAATTAAATCATGAGAAAAAAACACCCCAAGACTTCAAACAGAATAGTATTTTTATAGGCCTAGTTCATGGATGGTTCATTTATTATAATAAAATCTTTAGGAAAGTATCATAGGTCTTTTAATGAACACAAGAGGCCAAGAGCTGTGCTTTCAAAACTGTCTGAAAGGCAAGAGTGTCAGTAATATAATCCTTGAACTTTCTTGAAATGCCTTTCATTTTTAACTTTTGTTTAGGGTTATTTCAAATTTGCTCAATAAAGACCTGCCACAATAATAATAATAAAGACAATATAGCATATATACATATAGTATAAAACCTAAACAAAGCATTTTTAGGTTGTTGAGAACTCAAACTAAAGAACTACAAACTATGAAAAATCTGAATTAAAACTGTTCCTTTAATAGTTCAAACAAAATTTTTATGAAATCAGATTAAAATGACTTCCAAGAAAACACTTTGATGTCCACAAAGATGACAGCTGTTTATAAAATTTTGTAGCAACAAAATGAATATCTGGCTTTAACAACCTTTAAAGCCTGCAATTATCTAACAGGCTGGGTATGATACAATACACAGAGAATTAATGACAGATTTAAAGTTTCTACACTGAATATTTTTGCATGGCTATCAAAAGCACAGCATATTTTTTAAAAGCAATTTCACTTATTTGCTGATTTAAACTGGCAGGAAAATTCAATGTCAAAGAGTGTTTTAAATGGACCTCCCCCCCTTCCATCCACACCCCAAAAGTTGACTGTTTTATTTAGTGTACATTCTGATTTGCTTCCAAGTGCCTCCTCTCCAGTCCATGTTGAGATGCTTCAAAGATGTGTCGAGATGCATCAAGGAAGAATCCTTCGGAGCTGTTACGATGTACCATGTCAATCTGTAGTATAGAGTCATTATAATGTTAATACGGATATCATCCGTAATTTAAAAACTGAATGAGTGTTAGTTCATGCGTGTTAGCCAACTGTTTGAAATGTTTGTTTTTTTAAGATTTCCAAAAAGGCATCTGTTCAAAAATAATGTAAAAATGAGTATTTGCGATCTGTATTTGGACAAAAATGAGTTCTTCTCAAACTTTTTATTGATTTTTCAATCTGTGCTCAAAAACTTCTAAGTGAGGGTGAAATTCTGTACTACAGTGGTCTCAAAATGATCTCTTATGCCAAAATGCTGTTATGTGTAACTCCGCTTGTTACCCCTAAATGTGTTATAAAATTTTTTTGTGTTTAGGCTCATCAGAGTGTCAATACCTAAACACGTCCTGGAATCTCGTATTTTTCCACCTTTATCTACAAGTTTCTCTGCTCACCCACTTCTGCTTGTTGACCCTTCCCCCCCTCAATAATTAATTCAAGGTTAGATTTAAATGGATTTGTCTTTCTTTCTTGACACGTTCCCAGATTCTCCTCAGGAGAACTAATCTTGCTTCCACTAGTATTCCTCTATTAAATCATATCTCTATTTTAGGATTCATCACATCCTACCTTATATGTTTGTATCTCCCTTTACACTATAAGCTCTTATGGCAAAGTAATGGAACTTATTATTTATTCATCTTATTATTAATAATAACTAAGCCAGTGCAAGTGTTAATAAATGTTTGTTTAATTGAAGTGTCTCCTTTTTGGGAAAAATCAAAATCACAAACATTAATATGTATTAGTTGGAATTAACAACAAGTAACTGAACAGTCATTTTATGGAAGGATCAGCACTTAGATGAATTCAATCTACATAATAAAGGATGGTTTACAGCTATCTTAAGAAATGTTTAACTTTGCTAAATGTGTTCTAATGTGTTCTAGAAAATATTTGCTTTTGGCAGAGCTGCTACCAGATGGAACTAGCAACCTGCACTATCTTATGCTAAACATTTTTTGGTAGAGCAATCTCTTTAGATCTTAACAAATTTATTTCTTAGGTTTTAAACATAAAGGCCTTTTGGAATTTCTCAAGATTATATTTTACCAATAATTTAAGTTAATTTAAGTCAATTCATCTTTGTACCTTTAAAAGAAACAGTCAAGTTATACATTTAAATTTATATGTTTTTATAATGATCTCATTAATGATAGATAAATTTATATTCAAAAGATTGCCACTTAAATATCCAAGGTTATTCCTTTTGGTTAGAAGATGAATAGTATAGTTAGATAACATTAACCCATATTTATTAATTTATTATTATACAATTGACACAAGAGGTATCTATTACTAATTCTCTTAATATGCAAACTTGTCAAAGATCTATTTACTAGGTATTTAATTTTAATAGAATACTTAATAATTTAAAAATCCTACAAGCACCAAGATGGAAGAATTATTTTAAGGACTCTAAAATGTGTTTCAGTAATTGAGAGATAAAAACATGTCTTAAAACAGTATTTCTTAAATAATGTTAGTTTTAACTCATAATAGTTAGCTCACCATTATCCAATACAGGTAATAGCTAGAAATCACAATATTCTAATACTTTTATTCACATCAGCAGTTAAAATTCAGCTTAAAATATAAATAGGAAAGGATTATTAGACTTGTCTTCATAGCACTTGCTAATGAACATAGGGACATACACAAAGAAAACAGACACAGGGAGGTCAATAAGTAAAATGAACAGAGGGAAAAACACTAATTTCTAACCAGTTCAGCTCTGTCTCTAAAAATGGTGTTAAGTGATATGTGACTGGGGGTTGGGGGTGGGGTCAAATCTTAATATGTTGGCTCTTTTCCTCCCTGCCCCCTATGGTTTTTCCATCATAATCAGTATTGTTTATAGTCTGGATTAATTAGCCTCATTCAGAAAACAGTCTTAAGGAAAACAAATCTACCTTTAGCTGGTTTCAGATTTCTGAAAAAGTTTTTCAGCATTTCAATTTCTGTTTTTGCAACAAATGTCAACACACAAATTAGAGGAAATATTTCTTAAAACCAGATAACCTTATAAAATAATTTTGAATTGAATATACTTACCTTTACTTCCCAAATAAAGTTTATTTTTGAAAATATGTTAAAGCTACTAGGGAACAATAGGAGTTAAGAGAGTAAATCAAACAAAATATGTAAAAAGAAATGACAAAAATAAGGAAAAGCATAAAATGTCAGAAAGATGAAATATTCAATATCATGTTAGATACCTGTGATTTAAAAAAAAAAATCTCAACACAAGTTAACCAATTGTGCTTCTTTTTCATTTTCAGTTATACTTATAAAATGGATTACCTTGGAGTGCTGTTCTTTTAACTTCGTTATTATACCCGGATCATCTTTTTTGCTAGCCATTAGCAGTCTAAACATTTGCTCTCGATACTTGCTCATTATAAGTTCCAAGGCAGACTGATGTTCTTCCAGGGATGTACGCAATTCTATCAAGAATCACAAGAATAACAGTATATTTTACTCAAACTTGAGTTAAAGATGTACAAAATATTCTCTTCCCCACTGTATTTACCAAAAAAAAGACGGTGTTTCAAAAAGAAAACGTGTAAAAACCTTGACATAAAGAAAGCAAGCACACCAAATGGAGTCCTTTATTAGTTTTTTAAATGACCATTTAAAACTCAGTTTTAAAGAATCATTTGAACAAACATTTACTGAATAATAATTAAGTACCAGATAATGCTCTATATTAAGAATACCCAAAAGGCCATGGAGCTCAGAGTCTAGTGGAGAAAGCAAATGCATAAATAATTATAATACAATGTGTAAAGTACAGCGTAGAGCTCTACCCAAATATATATAAACAAAGTCTGTGAGGAGAAACTGGTGAAAGTTTCACATTATTGAGATGAACTTGCATTCCTTAAGTTGAAAAATAAAGGAAAGGGCATTCTACACAGGGAGGCATGAAAGCGGATGTTGTATTCAGGAACTAGTTCAGGACAGCAAGAACAAAGGTTTCATGGAGAAGAGCGGTATGGGAAGAAGACAGAGAAAAAGGCCTTGAGTTGATTTTGAAAGCTCTGGGTAAGGAAATAAGTATACAATGAAGGTTCTAAAGCAAAAAAATAACATGATTAGATATATGTTTGAAAAATGAATCTGATGCCTGTTTTGGAGACAGACTGAAGGGGGGGGAAGAGACTAAAATAACAGAGGCCAATTAGGGCCTCCTATCAGTTCAAGAGACTATGAACACCAAAGCAAGAGACCAAAGCAGTGGTTCTGCAGAGGAGGAAAGTGAGTTACTTCATAGGTAACAACAATGGCACAAACTGAATATTGAGGGTAAGAATCTAGGATGATTCCATGCAAGGCAGACATTCATATGTAGGAAAGGATAATGATTAATACATATGATTTGGGCATATGGATCAGAAATGAGAATACCAAAAAGGAAATTTAGTTGGCCATTTCCCCATTTTTGAAAATATTAAGAGTCCAATTGTATATTACAGCTCTTTCAACTAAATTCAATTTTAACTAAAATCCAATGAACCCTTCAAAAGGGTATATTTTATGGTATGTGAAATACATCTCAAATGTGTAATAAAAGAACATGTGCCAAAGAAATGAAAAAATATATTTTTTAAATAAATTTGAATCTAACTTTAAAGCCCACTCCTTTATTCTCAAAGCATTCTGATGAGCCACTTAGTAACATAATTCATTATAATTTCCTGGTTCTTAACTTTAGTTGTCAAACTTCTTTGTGTTTTAAGACTATATCTCTTACCTTTGTTCTCTTGTTGCAGTTCTCTGATTTGTCTGTTTTCTTGCTGGATTCCCATAACTAATGTGGACCGTGGCCGATGCCTTGCAACTTCATTAAGTTCTTGAATTTCTTCCTGATACTAATGAAAAGATCAAAAAAGAACATGTGGGGAGCAAATATTTGAAAGTATATATCTCAGATATATATCTGATAAGGGTCTAATATCCAGAATACATAAAGAATTCTTACAACTCTCAATAACAATAATAATCCTAATTTAATAATAATACATTAAAAAATGGGCAAACAAAGTTCTGGGGAATCTAATGTACAGCATGGTGACTATAGTTAATAAGATTGTGTTATATGCTTAGAAGTTAGTAAGAGTAGATCTTAAATGTTTTCATCACATACACATGGTAATTATGTGAGGTGATGCAGGTGTTAACTAACTACTGTGGTAATCATTTTGCAATATATATGTGTATCAAATCATCTTGCACACCTTAAGCTTACACAATGTTATATGTCAATTCTATTTCAATAGAGCTGGAAAAAAGTGGGCAAGGGATCTGAAGAGACATTTCTCTAGAGAAGGTATACAAATGGCCAATAAGCACATAAAAAGATGTTTAATATTACTGGTCATTAGGGAAATGCAATTCAATACAATAGTAAGATACCACTTCACAACTACTAGGATGATCTTTTTTTTTTTAAGGATTTTATTTATTTATTTGACAGAGAGAGACACAGTGAAAGAGGAAACACAAGCAGGGGGAGTGGGAGAGGGAGAAGCAGGCTTCCCGCCGAGCAGGGAGCC